AAGATTACACCGATACTTTTTCTCACTTCTGAAATCCGCTAGCTGCCCCTCTTTGGAGGAGGTGGACCAGTCTGTAAAGTGATACCCTTCTTGTCTCCCAGCGCCCCCCCCCCCTCTGACTGGTGACCTGACAACATGATTGATGAGCAAGAGTTGATGACTGTTTGCAAATGCGTTGAGGGATACTGTAATCAATCATTTCTTTGGGCCCGAACTAAATATTAGACACGGGGCGGCGAAGGGGGCTGACACATGTATCGGGCATTACACCACCGCCTGCGGTTTCGACTAATCGCCTGATGATCGATGACTGCTCGCTGTATTGTACAGTGCAGCCTGTCTGTCTGTCTAACTGTTCTGACCTTTTCGTAGATTTGCCACTTCACGGAGCCATTCCTTGAACGTGATTCGATCAGCTGTCCTGGCATCAGCTCTCATTACCGGTATGGCACGATGTCGTGGACGTCGTCCTGTCTGCAGAAACACATCGCCCTCGATCAGCATTGATTTGTTGAGAAATGGCTCTGAAAAATGTGCAGATTTCACGGCTTCACGGAATCGAACAATGTCTAATCATAGGCTTGGCGTGCGCGCGCTAGAGGCCACTATGGCCATGCAATCGTGGCTACCACGCAATTAACGATCTCATGCTTAGCGGCTACATCAAAGGAAAATCGCTTAGTTTTTCGCTTGATTGGCATTAAACGACCTGGGGAGAGATGTATCTCTTCAACGGACAAGGTAATACCGGACATCAGAGAATGTTTTGTAATTACACCGAAAACCACGATTCAGGATGAACCCGACCTGGTACTGGAAGATCCATGAGAAATGAGCTGTAATAGACTTCCAATGAACTTCACAAACTGCAAGCCCCCTCTGCAAAACAGCCTGCTAGGTTCAGATTTTGGCGCTGCTCGGTCTGGGAGGGGTATTTCGCTCTTTCCCTAGTTTTCTTTGTTAATTCTCGCTGAATTACGCGCCTATCCTTGGTAAAACCTGTAAACTTCTGTTAAGAGTAAACGAAGCTTCTGCCACTGCGTAGCCTTACAGGAATTTACAGGTCTCCACGGGAGGACTCGGCAGTGATCCACGGGAACAAACGAGATGCCTCCAGCAAGAATAACTACTCTCACATTCCAGTTCGAGCGATTTCAGAAAGTTAAGTAGGATCCTCCCGTTAAGGCAATGACAGTTGAAATGAAGTTCCTACCCTGCCTGCGTAATTATCACTACCGCAACCAGCGACGTTAAATTGAACTAGATCTTAATTCTCTTCGTTGAAGGACACATTCCGCGCTGGTCGTGTAGGCGGAGCTGGTCTTGATTATCATTGGCGGTTCCTTCCTTTACGGACTTCAGAGAAAAAGCACATGTCAATGAGGAAGACACAATGGTAGGCCTGACTCCGCCCGTACAGTATAAGTCATTTCCCCCTTTTATGACAACGAAAAGTGCCCAGAGGAACAAGCGCTGTTTGGGAAGCGAAGAGTCCTGCACAATTTTACGTCGCATTCCTGTACTATAACCCAGATAATCGAAGCAGGAAGGTAACCAAATTAGCTGTTAGTAAAGCTGCGCTCGAATAATAAAAGGAATCATGGCGCAGTTCGACTTGGGGGGGGGCATTTTGCACTTCCACTGCTTGACACCGGCGTGTTCTTTGTTTCACAAGAGTTGACACAAGTCAGTCTCAACAAGCCTTGACTGGTTTCACCTCACAACTTCGCAAGATTTCGCAGATCTCTACTTGATGGCTCGGCACAAGATGAGAAATAGCGAAAGAACAAAG